CCATGATTTGGCTTCTGCTCCTTTATAGCCTTTTCTCCCAAACAATCTAATAATAGTCTCCAGCCACCCTAGCCTCTCTTTCCTCACACATGCCCTTTCTGCTCGGGGCCTCGATAGAAGCTGTACTTTGGGCCAGATCTTTTGTCTCCCTGCCATCCCTCTTCACACCCACTTCTTAATTTTGAGGGTCTGAATTAAATTTCTTTTTAATTTAGTCTCATTACACCCTGGAATATTCCTCATAGCACTTAGCATAACTTTAAAATCCTACATTTTCATATAAATATGTTTAATACATGTCTTACTCGATAGAGTAAATGCTCTTATCACATCAAGGGAAGGACTTGTTGATGACCTCTGCAGTTGGAACCCAGCTTATGCTTAAAATATAGTTGAAACTTAACAAGTATTTGTTGAGTGACTAAACCATGCCAGATATAATGGCATACCAAGCAGAAATATCAAAGACTTGGGCAAGGTCTAAATCAGTGACTCTGAAATTAGAGTCTCCAGATCAGTTTACTGCACTGCTTGTAGGCAAGAGTTTAATCGGTAAAATGGGAATAATTTCTGCCAAACAGGGTTGTGAGAGAATTAAAGTGCAGCAATACATGAAAAAGCAGGGTACCCATAAACAGTTGGCACTCAACAAATGTTAGTATTCATCTCCCATCTCTATTGCCCTCCAGAAACTACTGCTATGCTATCAAAGACAGAAAAATAAACAGACTGTTTAGAAAAGTATTATCTATACTGAGACTGTTAGAAGCAGGAGGTAGAATCAAAGGGCTTTCCTTGACCGAAATGGAATACAGGGTCTTGTAAGACTACTTCACCCAATTTCTTTGGAACAAACAAACAAACTTCCTTTGTTCTCTCTTTTCAACTGGATCTTAAGTTTAAAGTAATCTGGGAGATCTAAGCAACATTTAAACCCTGGTAAGTAGATAATGGTTTCCAGTAACTGTCAGTATTTCTGGAAAAGGAAAAGATCAAAAACTAAAAGGATTGTCTCCACTAAAACGCCCATATATGTTCTCTTCTTATATTGCATTCTGTTGGGTAGTTACAAGAGATGAGCTAGGAGCCTACATCTGTTTCTAAAAGATAAACTTAAGATAGTGTGATTGAGTGTAGATTTCCCTCCTTAGTCTTGTCAGACTTCAACTTCCAAATTTATGGGGGGAAATGCTGATATCTAATGACTTTAGGAAATGTGGGCTGGAAACATGACCTCCTTGATACTGGTCTTGCCATCAGTTAACTACTAATTTAAGATTCAGCAAAGGGAAATAAATTCAGATCTCAGTGACAAAAATTGCCTTTGAGGTCTTTCATCTTTGTTGTTAATGCTAATGGTTAATAAGGGTGCAGAATCCTTAACCCAACTCTGTCATTTTTATGGCAAAGGGCAAATGGAACACCCTGGAGTTTTAAGGCCTGACCATTTCAGTGATTGTTTGCTCTTTCCCATTCTCACTGTCTCCATTCTCTTTGTTCCCACTGTCCACATATATTGCTTCTCATCAATTCTTTGGTGTCCAGTGTCTCTCTTTCCCAAGGAAAGATGATTGTTCTACTCATCTCAATTTATTCATTCAATAAACACACCTAAACAACATAGCCAGCACCTGACAGCTCTACTTCGATAATGAACTATTGAGTGGGAGATATTAAAGATAAAGGTCTGGGTCTCCCTGGTGGTGCAAGGGGTTGAGTCTCAGCACTACAAAGCAATCTGCAGCCACTGCAGCACGAGTTCGATCCCCTCCAGGGAGGTGACCCACATGGTGCAGCAGACCTCTCTTGACTTGCCTGCTGCTCCCCTCAGCAGTGTATTTCAGTCTGCCTGTTCTGTTTCCCACTCTGTCTCTGGTGAGTCCTCTCACCCCCCTCCCCACCTCTGGCCTGTACCCCTGTTCTTGTAAGCATAAATAAAAAAATCTTTAAAAAAAATAAAGATAAAGGTCTTAGTTTTCTCTTGCAACCCCACAGGGTGAAGTGACTTTGACTTCCAAAGTCACACAGACTACTTATGGTCCACAGGAGTGTGGACAAAACATTAGGCTCTATCCATCACTATGGTCAATCTGAACTCTTTGCCACAATAAGTTTGAAATCACTAATTGTTCTTGTATAATGGCAACACAGGCAGAAAAATTCTAACATTAAAAAATATCAGATAGGAGTGTATAGGGAGCAATAATCATTTTCTTTATTCCACAAATTTTTGAGCATGAGCCATTTTAAATACATTTATAAGTGCTTAGAATTCATTAATGAGCAGAGGAAAATCCCCTTTCTGTGTGAAGCTTGTAGACCAATGGGAGCATTTGTGTGTGTGTGTGTGTGTGTGTGTGTGTGTGTGTATAGAGAGGACAAGACAAAAAATTAGCATAGAATATAACTTGGATAATTTGTGATAAGGAAATGCAAACATTTGGAGGGACATGAAAGTTAGACAGGATGGTAGGAATCAGGAATCCCAAAGGCACTACAGTTTTGATTCAGGTGATCAGGGTGGGTTGAACCGACATTATAGCAAATATTTAAAAGTGAAGGAATTACCTGAATGAATATTTAGGGGACAAGTTTCCCAAACAGAATAAATAGTCAGGGCAAATGTTGACATAATAAAAATTTTCCTTAAAATGCAACTGCCTCTGTCCTCCTCATAGTGATAAGACCATGTGTTCAATTTTCCGAAAAGTAGAAAAAAGACACATGAAGTATTCACCACTCCTTCTAGTAGGACCTCACCCTATTAGCAATTGTTTGTGGCTTCACAGAATATGACTAGCAGCATTTTATCATCTTCCACATGCCAGGAATAGACATCTCATTTAACCTCACAACCACGCATGACACCAAAATTCATGGAAGAGAAATCACCTGCCCCAAGGATTTCACTTTATAGCCCTGTAACACTTCTTTCCAAACTAAGATTGTCTCTTTAAAAATTCTATATATTCATCTACGCACTTATGCAGATTAGATATATTCCACATTGTTATGATGATGATGATTTATCAATGCCCTAAAGAACAGGGGACTATAAAATAAAATTCCCATTTCCTAACACTTGGTTCGTCTCTCCAGAAGTAAGCACTATACATTGTATATCTTTCCAGAAAAGTTACACACATGAATGAACTCATGACGGTTCCTCTGCAATGTTGCATTTAAGATATGTAAAACAGAAATAAACTCAAACCTCAGTGACCACGTTTGTTTACCAGTATAACCTTTACCTTTGGTTATAAAACTTGGATTTTTGTAAACTGAAGCCATCTTCTTGGTGGCAGGGACATTACATTTCAGTCATGTTTTGGGGGCCCTTCCTGCTCCCCTTCTTTGTTGGAGTCTTCAGAGCCCTCTACAGGACAGAATCTTTGAGAAAAGATTCTGGTCTTCAGTTCACCGTGTTTACTCTGATGTTGTCATAACTCAAGTTTCCTTGTTTTATATTGTAAGCAAGAGGACTGGTCTCACTGCAGGCTCCCGGGCCCCATACAAGCCTGGTAGCCTCCCTGGTCCTCGGCTCATCTGCTCCTGGCACTGTGACAGCCAATCCCACCCAAGAAGGGCCCTTCCCTAGGAATTCTGCACAAGAGAGCAGTAGTGACCCTTCACTGCTCACAAAAACTGCAAACCCTCACCGGCCTAGGTTTCTGTCTGTGGAGGGTCCTGCAAACTTCCCAATGTCTAGGACTGGCCACTTCTGCCCTCAAATTTCTGCACTGGGTTTCTTTCCCATCCATTTGGACTCCCTAGTAAAATCATCCTCTATGAGTCTGACAATCAAACAGGTTATATACTGTCTTGCAGAGGAGAATATGAGGAAAGCACAGACCTTTAGACACACAGTTTTAATTCTTTGCATTTGGGTGAGGGAGGGAAAGGAGGGAAATATCGTTTGGCTCATTTTCTTTAGTAATAAATATGTATATGTTATTTACATATGTATATATTATGAAGGGAAACATATTGAAATATTTTAAGAAGAAAGAAAAGGTTTATCTAGGTAGATACATCTTTTAAAATTTCATCAACAGCTTCATCCTCATCCTATATGTGAATCCTACACATTGTTTGGTCTCACTCAAACTCCATCTGAAACCTTTTTTCTATCAGCTCTTGCATAACCATCTTGTTCTCTTTGAGAGAGACATCATAGTCCCATAAACACTTCCAGATTGACAGACATGATAGCTTCCCATTTTGTGACTGGTTACTGACTAAGCTGCAGTGAATGAGGCTCACATGTGACAGACCCATGTATCTGAATGCTGCTAGTGGAATGGCTGAGTCATTGCTCAGGGTATGTAATTTTAAATATGGGTAGATTTCTAAAACTGACCTCCAAAAAAATTGTTCTGGTTTGTGTTCCCAACACATCAAGATTGCATCTGTTTCTCCACAGCCATTGGTAAGTCTAACATTTATAGAGTGCATCTTTGTAAAGGCAGGACTGGACACAGAGCAGGTTTTCTGATCCCATTCAGACCAGATAAAGGAGGAGTCAGAGTCCTCAGTGGTTTTTTGCAGGTCTTATATTGAGGTTCACCAGGCATATGGCAGGCAGGGGTGCTGGCTGGGGGGCTGGGAGCCTGGCAGGCCTCCCAGCCCCCAGCAAGTCTTTACTCTATCTGGGCTCTCTGGCGTTCGTTCTGCTGTTTCTCAGCTTCTCTTTCGGCTTCTGCTTCGGCTTCTGCTGCTGCTTCTGGGGTCCCCGTGACGCCGCCTTTAAAAAAAGCACAGTCTTAGCTCAGCTGAATCCCATCTACCTATGCCCACATCCTATTCCAGGTGCCCGCCATCAGGCATGCATTCAGGACAAGGATCCATCATCTATCCTGATGGCAGAAGGGCAGAAAAGCCTGATATTTTCTTTACCCTACAATCTTACATGCCAGACTCTGTTCTAGAAGTTTTTATATGTTCTCATGGTATCTTTCTTGTAAGTTTTTGAGTTGGGCACTATTATTTCTGTTTCACAGAGGAGGAAAAACACAGAGAAATTGAGTAATTTACCTGAAGTTCAGCTGCTGTAGTGGTGAAACCAGGATTTCAACCCAGGTATTCTGAATTGGGAGACTATGGTATTTATCCACTATAAATCTTAACATTTGCCCATCTGTAAGGTAAATACTGGTGTTGAATTTTGATTTAATATGCATTTCTTTAATTATGAATGAGAAGACATATATTCACTCACTATTGATACTTATTTCTGTACACAGCTCATTCATGCCCCTTTTTGTTTTTCTATTGCATTATTTTAAAATTGATTTTTGTGAATTCTGAGTATCACAAAAATGCGTCCTTCACATGTTGCAACTTTTTCTCTCCTATATGTCTTGATGTACATGACATTGCAAAAAGTTTTTGCTATGCACTGTGAGTTTTAAAATATGTGGTTAAACTTGTCAATTTTGGTTTGGAGGATTTCCATGTTTTAAAAGGCCCTTCCACAGCAAGACAATCAAAAAATTGTTTGCTCAAGTTGTCTCCATACTTAAGGGTTGATTCTTTTCAGCATTTAGATTTTCAGTCAATTTGGTGTAATAAGTAAAGTATGTTACATTTTTTCCCTCAGTATCAATCTATTTCAACCAACATCATCAATGAAATTATTCAAAAGTGACACTTTCATGATAGCCTTAATTCATATTTATATATGTGTAGCTAGCATAAAATTGAGTGGCTTTTAGTATAGTCAGAGTTGTGTAACCATTACCACTAATTCCAGAAACCCTGCTTATTTTGAGGCTAGTTCTGAACTTGTCAATTAAAAGTACTTGTGTTTATTTGTGTTGGCACCAGAGTCCTTTAACTACTAGCATTTGCCAATATATTTTAATAGATAAGTCAATACTTTTACTCTTAAACATCTTTCTTTCTGGAAGGGAAGAATGGGTTATTCTGCATACCATTAATCATTTGGGGGGACACAAGTAACCAAAATATTTTTACTTTGGTAAAAGCACTTTCAAGGCACTTGATTTACTGGATGGAATCTCTGCCTATAAATCCTTGCAATCTTCACTTCTAACTTAAGGACACTTGCTCTGAATAGAGACTATTTTCCACCCTCTGAGGATAAGGATAAAGTAGCCATTCCCTCTTCCAGCCTCATTCGGTATCATCCCTCTATCACAAACCAAGCCTGAAAGGAACACAGGATTGTGACATCTGTATAATTTGCATAGTTGGCTTCTGTGTGTCTGCATCTGTCTGCATGTCAGTGTGGCCTCACCCATGAGCAGGTTGGAACCACCGATTTTAGCTGTCACGTTCCTAGAGAACAAGCAAGGCTCTGTTCCACTTGTTTGCCAGTCCCCACGACAGCCCTGCACAGGTGGGCGCTGGCTCCCCGATGATAAAGTAGTAATGAGCACCTAATTATGGATAATTGCATAATGAAGGGCGCTCTTGCCTCTGCCAGTTCACAGTTGCAGCTGGTACCTGAACACCTTCTGCTTGTGGCAACAGGTTAGTTTCATCTTGCATTATTTGAGGGGGAAGGCAGCAAGCCAGTACACCAGCATGGATTAAATTATCCCCAACAAGTCAGTGCCTGATTCTTGTTTCTCGAGGGCAGGATGGGGAACTTGACTCCTCATTCTCCTAATTATCCAGGGAGATTAGTTTGTGCACCCAGGCTATGGACTAATAATAATGGCTTGCATTTGGAGAGGGCCTTAACTAGTCAGGCTATGCAACCACACCCTTCTAAATTTCTGGTAACAAACATCCATGTGTCGTTCTGTAACTTCAAGTCCGGTGAGCAGTAAGCTATTTCCTAAAGTGGCCTGTATGTAAGCATTATCTTGGCTACTTATTAAACATATACATTTACTAGCCCTCATCAACACCTACTGGATAAAATTCTGCCAGTTAGTCCCAGCTCTGCCAGTAACCATGACTTGGGAAAGTCACTACTTTTGTCTTGGTTTTTTTTTTTTTTTCAGCTCTAAGATGAGATGGAAAAGTCCAAGATCTGAGAATGTGATTACATGGTATCTTGCTTAAAGTGTCATTTGGCTCTTCTCCTAACCCAGTCACCCCTACATGGGCAGGATTGCACTTTCAAAAGCAAAGATATGACTGCAATATTTCCCGTCCCACATGATTTTTCTGCAGTGTGATTTAACACATCTTGGTATCATCATTGACTGATGGTGTCTATGTTCCTGCTACTTGAATCTAGGTGACCTTGTGACTACAGTAGAAGTGACACTATTTGACTTTTGAAGTTAGGTCATCCAATACGATACATTTTCCTCTCAGTTCTCATGGGATGCAGAACCCAACCCAACTGCCATGCTCTGAAGTGGTCCAAACAGTGTGTAGATCCAAAGAGACCCTCATCCCACAATCCTGGGCCAGACCATCTTGTCAATTATGTGATTGCACCATCTTGAACTCAGATTCTCTACCCCCTAGTTAACTTTTTCCAGTGGATGCTACTTTTAGGATGTACTAGTTGTCTCCACATAGCTCTTCCCAAATTGTAGTTTCGTAAGTAAAACAAATGACTATTGTTTTAAGCATGAAAATTTGGGATGGCTTGTTACTCAGCAACAGATAACTGATAGACTACACGACAGTAAGTGTTAGGTAAGTATTTGAGCAATGAAGATAAAATGTATAAGTGATGTTGGACTATGCTTATGAGGGGATTGTGAGCTAATTGGCAATGTTAACTATAAAAGATATGCCAGATGAAGGAGATAAGAAATGACATTAGAGGCAAAAGTGGTGGTTAGGAGGCCACTGCATTTACTCCAGCAGAAACTAGTGAGATCCAGCATTAGGTACAGGATGGTGGAAAGAGAGAAATGGAATAGTCAAGGAGTTAAAAAAATCTGCAGGACACATTTTCTGACCTAAAAGGAATGATGCAGTTGAGATTAATGTTGCTGAACCTCTGAGCTCAGTTTATGGTAAAAGTCCTTGGTACTCTTGATAGAAATGGGAAAATTGGGAAACTGGTATAGGAAAAACCTTCCATCACTAACAGGTTGAGTCAAGTTCAAGTCAATCTGAATTTACTGAGTGTTTCTCTAATGAAAGACATCTGACACATAGCAAACATAAGACATCTATAGATGTTCAAAGGGAAAATATTTGTTGAGGTCAAAGCATTGTCTGTGGCATGCAGAGTGGCAATCTCCAATGAAGCTTTGTCAGGTGGCATTACCTGGTGACTTTACTATGTTCAAAGTTTGGCTTCCAGCCTTGCAGGTTCAGAAACATGTTCTTTCAGCATTGGGACTGTGGAGCAAATGCATTAATCAAGTTCAAAAGACTAACTTATAAAACCAGTGTCTAACAATAATTTATGAGAGATGTCACCTGCCTGGAATACGCCTCTCAGCAGGACCAACACATTCCTTCCTTATAGGCAAACCTCCACATGAAGCCAATTCATAATCACAAATCTTCTCTTTGGGAAGGAAATCAAAAGAAGATGTAGCTAAAGTTACTCTTTAATGAGCAGGCTAAGAATGCCTGATGCAAGATGTCTCCATGATAACATGGGTTTCCAATGGGCATGGAAGTCACATGCTACCACCCTGTCTCCCTCTGAGCCTGTGCCAAAGGTCTTTAGGGACACCAGTCCTCTCTGTACTTCACTGGAACCACCACACATCTCTTTCAGAGTGACACATTTTGCCCTAGACAAATGGGTTAAAGGAAAATGCCTGGGGTCCTTCTGCTTCTCTTTCTTAGCAGCTCTCTGACCGATTGGATTCATTATGTATCAATTTCACAACATTAATTGAAACCAATCTAATTTCCAAGTTCGTGTTGGGGGTAATGTCTGATGGTAGAGCAGACCATATCCAATGAGAACCATCTTAAAGATATCTGGAATAGAAAACAGAAATGAGATTTTGGTGAAAGATGGATTTCTAAGCCAAGGAAATTAAGGAAATGGCTGAAGGATTAAAAGAGTTTTCCCAAGGAAAACCTGCACAAAGGTGAGCAAAGGCTTGAGACTTTGAGAATATCTGAAGTGTGGGAATCAAGGTGAAAGCCAATAGGAATCAGGGAAATGGATACTCTCAGATGACAAAGGACCAAGAAGACAGGAATTCCAGGAGAGAGAAGTCAAGAATGGTGCAGGTTATTGACACAGCCACCAAAAGCTCTGACAATCTAGTCACTTTGAATCTTATTTGTTCCCTTTTTAAGACCTTTTTTTATTCTGAGGCCTTGCCCCCCCCTCAAATTTGAGGAAGTCATGTCAACATGTGCCAGTCTCAACAACCATGAGCTTTTCCACATGGTTCCTTAGGGATTTTTTTTTTTTTAAAGCAACTGGTAAATGTCAATTTTAATTAGAGATGCACTTTATGGTTATGCTGGGGAATGAGTTAGGCACCTTCTTATCATTTACATATTTGACATTTATCAACACTTCATCTAATCTTGATGTTTAAATCTAGAGTTGATCTGAATGCTGCTTCTTTCTGACTTACCCTGAATCTCTATTTTGGAATCTCCTGGGAGAAGACAAAAATTCAGGACAACATGTTATCAGGAAAAAAAGCAAACATAAATAAATAAATAAAATACAAAGGCCTTTCTTAGCAGTTTGTTCTCAACTTCTAGAAACATATCTAGGCTTCGATCATATATTACTTGTTTATCCTTATTAGGATGTCAAAACTATGAAAAATAGACTTTACATTGTTAATAAATTAGAGTACCATTGGGTATCAGTTGTAAGGTCTCCTGTCCTTTCCTGACAATTGATGCTGCTGAGTGTGGAACAGCCTCCTTCGTCCTGTCACAGGGAACATTGGCTGGTGACACTGGAAGAACTGATTGAGTAACTTACTTCTGATGGAAAAATGGGATTATACCAGAAAATGAAGAGGAGTGGTTTAGCAAACACAATAACTGTTCATTTAAACAGTAATTTAAGATACATTTTTTTTTAAAACAAAATGACCAGGCACCAGGGACACATCCAATTTGAGGAAGGATCCCAGGTTTATCACAGAAAGCGTGACCACTTTTTGGAAGGAAGCAGGGTCAGTGTATTAGATTCAAGGCATGAGCTAAATAATAACTAGACTGTTTTTCTGCTTGGTACTCAATACCCAATAATAAGAAGAGGGTGTTGCCTGTGGCATGAAAAGCGGGAAGGGTCCAGGGAGAAGGGGGAGGGAGGAAGATGAACAAAGTGGTGAAGACCTAATTTCTCAACAATTCTAGAATATCCTCAAAGTATTTCATTCCAAAGTCTTTAACCCTGTTGCCCTGAGCATTGCATGGTCACTGATAGGTTGCTAATGTGATCTTTCCTGCAAAGAGAGAGAAAGGATCCAGCAAGGCATGAAAAAAAATAAATTTCCTCCAGGAAATAAGAGTCTCTCAGAACATTCCTTCAGCTCTCCATGTAAGCAGTCATCCTTTTAGCCCTAAAATGAACACTAGTGAAATTAGGAAGTATCTGAGTTTCATGCAGACTAAACAAGATAGGAGATTAATTTTTTTTTTAAAGACAAAATCATCTGAAAAAAAGGAAAAAGACTTTAGGTATGGACAATCAGATTCTGCTAATTTCTAGCACCTGTATTAACATGTGTTTTTTAAAAGCTGGGCTTTTCCCACCATACACACATAGTTGTTTATGATGAGGGAGTCATGTCCTGCCACAAGACTCCCCAGTCTCAATTCCCAGACTTTTGCAGAAGTTTTCTACTGGTGGCATAAGGTTAAGATGCAGCACTATGACGCTTTCTGCAGCCACTGCAGCACGAGTTCGATCCTTGGCCAGGGAACTACCCACATGGCACAGCAGGCCTCTCCTGACTCGCTGGCTGCTCCCTCAGCAGTGTATTTCAGTTAGCCTGCCTGTTCTGTTCCCTGCTCTGTCTTTTCTTTTTTGGCTACTCCTTACTGAGCTCTCCAGCCTCTGAAGATTTTAATACCATCCCCTGCAGGAGAGGCTCACGCCGGCTCGCTGTTCTCTGGGCATTTTTCCTGCCCCCAGCACACAAGCCTGAGAAATGAAATAATAGCAGAGCTCCCGGCAGCCTGTCATGACCTGTCCCGTGGGATCTCGCTGAGCTTTGCGGAGACTGGCAGCTAGATGACATGCTCCTGCCCTTCCTGTCTGGCCCCCAGTCTCTCTCTTGACTCCACTCCTAAATCTATCTCCTCACTGAGTCTCCTGGACAGGAGGTCCACAGGGTGCGGTCCCCCTGCTGGGGTCCTGAGGAGGCTGCCGACTCCCACCCCTGCCTCGTGTGAGCCTGACTGTGCAGGAGCTGGTCTATCCTTGCAGAGGTGCTGTGAGTGCAAAGGTGACCAGTGCCACTGGACTCACACTGCCCTGTGACTTGCCATTTTTTCAGAGCAGAGTGGATACAGGAGCAGGCTGGGAGACCTGAGAGAGGAGGCTAGGCTCTGAGGAGAGCAGACGTTTATGTGTGCTCTGCCCTTTCACACGCCCACGTGCCTATCCACTCACAAATGGCCCTAAGCCACTGGGGAAGGTGGTTGTGAAGAGGTGCTATCCACGGCTGTTTTATAACAAGCTGCTTGCCTGCCAGGTAAGTTTTACTGTCTTTGGAACTGGATCTGAAGCCAAATGCCAGAGCCATTTCAACCACCGAATATGAAATCCAGGTACAGCGTGGTGCATTTCCAACTGTCCTTGTACGGAAGGTGTGAGTGACTGGTCTTCTCTGCAGACAGACCCCAGAGCAACAGATGCCCCTGCAAAGAGCTTAAGCACACACACCATGAAAGACTAGGTCCTGGCGCCTTCAAACCTGGTTATTGCACTGCCTCCAGGAACCCCATCAATGTCCAGGGACCACAGGGGTATAGTATCAAGAGTGGGACAGAGCAGATAAGGGGAAGCACTTCTTGTTCTACTGAGCAGACACCCTGCCCCTGGCAGGATGGCCAAGCAGTGGAGATGTGGGGTGCTGCTTTCCTACATAGTCCCTGAGCCCCAAGCTCCCCCCAAATCACAGAGGCATATCAGTTCATTACTGGCTGCTTAGTATAATCACACAATAGGCCCCAGTATATGATTTGACTCTTCCACGCACCCAAAGGAGGACTCTTGTTCCATTCTGCAGATGAGGAAAGTGAGGCTAAGTGAGGTGAGATGACTTATCTAATAAAAGTCTGAGGAGGGGCCTCCCCAGTGGCACAGTGGTTGAGCGCTGGGTTGCGAAGCGCCCGCAGCCTCTGCAGCGCCGGTTCGATTCCCGGCCACCGGGCAAGGGTCCCACATGGCGCGCAGACCTCTCCTGCCGCCCCCTGCTCCCCTCAGCAGTGTATTTCGTCAGTCTGCCTGTTCTGCTCTCAGCTCTGGCTCTGGTGAATTCTCTCACCCTCCTGCGGTTCTGACTGTACCCAGTGCTTGTATAAATAAATAAATAAATCTTTTTAAACAAACAAACAAACAAACAAAAACCTGACCATTGTCATTTATTAAAAAAAAAAAAAGTCTGAGGAGGACTATCAAAGGTACCCACTTGCAGGTTTTAAGTATCTACTAAGTCACAAGTCCTATGGGTGAGTTACCCTCAATTTTATATATGTCTCTGGTGTGAAATGTTTGTGGTGGATTCTGCAGGGTTAGCCCATCACCTGTAATGGAGGATTGCTTACCAGAAGGATTCACCAGTGATCTGAGTGGATCATCATCTGAGTCAGAAATTGACTACACTTTGAAAGATTAATTTAAAATACAGATGTCCAGGTCACACAAGAGAATCTCACTGAATTGGTTCAAGGTAGACTGTTTTTTTTTTAAGTCCTCTGGGGGATCCAAATATGCAGCTAGCATCTCAGTGCTTCTTGTTTGTTTGGCAGCACACCCCCTCATCAGGTGGCACGTCTGTCACCCTACACTCTTTCCTGCCACCTGTGCACGGCACCCCTTTGACCAGAAATAAGTCTCTAAAGAGGGGGCCTCCCTGGTGGCATAAGGTGTTAAGTCTCAGTGCTATGAAGCAATCCACAGCCACAGCAACTGGCCAGGGAGCTACCCACATGGCTCCCAGGCTACCCACATAGCTCCCCATTTAGCTCCCCACATAGCTCCCCATTTAGCTCCCCAAATAGCTCCCAACATAGCTCCCCACATAGCTCCCCACATAGCTCCCAGGCTGGACAGGGAGTTACCCAAATGGCGTGGCAGACCTCTCCTGTCTCTCCTGCTGCTCCCCTCAGCAGTGTATTTCAGTCAATCTGCCTGTTCTGCTCCCCACTTACATGCATAAATAAATAAATCTTTTCTAAAAAGTTACTGGGCCTCCCTGGTGGTGCAGGCTCAGAACTGCGAAGCTGTCCGCAACCTGTGAAGTTGTCCGCAGCCTCTGCAGTGCTGGTTTGATCCCTGCTGGCCTCAGAGCAACCCACATGGTAAACAGACCTCTCCTGTTGCGCCTGCTGCTCCCCTCAGCAGTGTATTTCGTCAGTCTGACTGTTCTGTTCCCCACTCTGTCTCTGGTGAATCCTCTCACCCTCCCACACATCTGGACTGTACCCCAGCTCTTGTATAAATAAAATACATCTTTTAAAAAATTAAAAATAAAAAAATAAAAAGTGTTTCAGGGAAATTTGTGAAGTAAGTGGGAACTTCCATGTGTCCCTGGATGGAACAAGCTGTATGGACAGGGAGCATATGTGGGATGAGAAGACACATGGTGTAGAATGGGTGGGAAGTGGAGGGGAAGAGAGCTTGGAGTGATTTGAGGAGTGATTGAATGGGGACCCCCCACTCCTTTTGTAACATGTAGGGTAATGTCATGACTGATGAGGTACAAATTTAAAATTATGTCAGCCTTTTCTGCTAATGCTCCTAGGAATGTGAGTTACTGGAAGTAAATTGTTCTAGGGCAATAAATCCCTCCTTGAAACCATTATCAGGGGGTGAAAAACCACAAGAAGCCTCTCTTGGGTATGTACTGAGCACCTGTTGTACAGAGAGTGGGTGGTGGGCACCTGGCAGCCTACTGAGGGCCATACTTGCCAGGATCCCTTCGTACACTAAGCTGGTTACTTCAGGAGGAGCAACAATTTACTTAGGAACTGTATTCATTGCCCAATGCTCTAAATTACAATGAACTCAGTGACTTTAAGCAACACAGATTAATTTTCTTCTTAGGTCAGAAGTCTAAAATGAGTTGGCAGCTCCACGTTCCTTCTGGAGGCTCCAGGGAAGAATCTGTTTCCTTGTCTTTCTCAACGTCTAGAATCTGCCAAAGCTCCTTGGTTTGTAGCCGCACATCATTCCAACCTCTACTTGTATTGTCACCTCTCCTTCTCTGATTCTGACCCCACCCCCCGCCACTCTCTTACAAGGACCCTTGTGATGACACGAGACTTGCCTGGATAATCTCCCTGGATGATCTCCCTGTCTAGAGATCCTCAATCACATGTGAAAAGTCATTTTTCCTGTGTGAGGTAGCACAGTCATGGCTTTAGGGAGTGGGATGAGGATGTCTTGAGGAGGCATTGCTCTGCTAGCATGGGAAATTACTGGGAGGAAGCTGAGCAAGACACTTCACAGTCTGATATTAATGTTACCCGAGT